CGGGAGTGTGCTGGGGTGTACTGGGGCACGCCGAGGTGTGCTGGGCCGGGTTGGAGTGTGCTGGGATATATTGGGGTGTGCTGGGATGAGCTGGGGTGTGCTGGGATGTACTGGGATGAGCCGGGGTGTGCTGGGATGTCCTGGAGTGTATCAGGGTGTGCTGGGAAGAGCTGAGGTACATGGCAGAGGGGGGTCTGTGTGTGCCATGGGGAGAGCTGGAATGCCCTGTCAGAGATGCCACCACCATGGGATGGGACATGGAAGCTCCCCCCAGCTCCTCCCGAACCCCGGTGCTGCTGCCAGGGGCCTGGAAAAGAAGAAACCTCTGTGACCTATGTGGGGGGTGATCTTATCTCCGGTCCCTCTCAAACTGAGAGGGACTGAGGGATGTATATGTCCCAGGAACACGGTCCTGGGGCTCCCAGAAACATATATGTCCCAGGAACATGGTCCTGGGGCCATTCTGGTGTTACCCTGCCTTGGGCTGCAGGAGAGGCAGGAGCTTCAAGGGCTGTGGTGTCTCCCTGCAGAAAACGACCCCCCGGGAGCGGACGGCCACCTCCAAGTCACGCGGGGAGAAGTCCCGGCCACCCACCGTCCCTGTCACCCGAGCCGACATTGTCCCCGGGCGCCTGCCTGAGGAGGAATGGCTCTCCCTGATCAGGGCTGAGCAGAGGGATGAGGACATCGGGGACATCCTCGCAGAGCTCTTGGGCCGCGTGATGGACGAGTGCTGCAAAGCCTACGTGGCTCAGCAGGTGAGCACGCCCAAGCCCTGCTTTTGGGGCAAGCATGGGTCCCTTGCAGCCCCAGCTCTGTGGCGTGGGACAGGCAGAGGGCACAGGGTGCTGAGTGGGGCAGGGCGGGGGGGCTCAGCCCTGTCTCTGCCCACAGTGCGTGCCCTTCACCGTGGGCCAGGCGCGGGACGCCCTCCTGCAAATCGCCGAGTGGCGCTTCCTGGCACGGGATGAGGGGGAGATGGACACCGATGGAGATGACACCTGGCAGGAGGATGAGGAGCCCAAGCCCTGCACTGCGGACTCCTGGGCGCAGGGCTCCGTTCCTGTCCAGGATACCCATCTGTCCCCATGCCCCGGAGAGGTGAGGCGGACCACAAAACCACGCTGTGGCCCCCAGGCAGCCGAGCTTATCCCTCCCCTGTGTGTGAGTCCAGGGCGAGTGAACCCCATGAGGAAGGGCTGAGCTTGGGCTGCTATGGGGCCATGGGACACCCACTGACACCCCAATCCCAGTGTGTGTGAGGGTCCTCTGGGTGCTGTTGCAGGCTGGGTGCTGTTGCAGGGCACAGCCTGCTCTGAACACCACCTGAGGAGCCGGGGAGTCTGTGCTGTGCAGGGGGGATGTACATGTGGGCAGGGGGGAATGGGGAGCTCTGGCTTGTTCTCTGGGGCTGCACTGGGAGGTGTTTGGTTGTTGCTGGGACGGTTCCCTTCACCGTGGTGCCAAGTGCTGAGCCATTGCCTCTTGTGGGTGAGGAGCAGGACCCACATCACTCCTGCGCACTAAGGGGGCTGGGGCTGCACCCACTGCCAGTGCTGGGCCAGGGGGGCAGCACTGCCAACACTGAGTCACCCCCATCAGGCGCCTTGGCACCCCTGGCCCACACCAGGTCCCCCTTTGTCCCCTCCTGGGCAGGTCTCTGATGTGGAGCCCCCGTACCAGCACAGAAGGCAGGAATCTCCAGAAACATCTGAGCCTGGAGCTCCCCCCATGCAGCCCCTGTTTCCTGGCCAGGTCACCACCAGCAGCACCGTCCTGCCTGAGCCAGGGCCATCCCACCCGGAGATGCTGCAGGACAAGGCGGTCATCGCTACCCAGTCCCCTGAGAGAAAACGTCCCCAGGCCCAGTCCCTGCTGCATCGGCGAGCCCCGCTCAGCCCAGCCAGGCCACCAGCTCCCTGGGGCCCCTCTGAGCCCCCAGGGCAGCCAGAGCAGGGACATCGTCCTGCACCAAAGTCATCCCATGGGGACGTGGAATGGAGCAGTGAGGCGAGGGCCAGCAGCTGCAAGCCACTGCTGTCATCTTCATCCCGCACCAGCATGGAAACGATCCTGCCAGGGAGGCCCCAGCGCAGCACGGGGGTGAAGCAAGAGGGGACTGGTGCCATCTTGGGGGTGCCCAGGCTGAGCCATGGCCGCCGGCCCGAGCACTGGATCAGGCCCCAGGTGGAGGTGCTGGACCCAGGAGCAGAGGCCAAGCCGCTGGCATGTTCCCGGGGTGCCCGCGGGCGCAGCCGGGGACCGGAGCTGGGCAGATCTCAGCTGTCCTGGGGCCTGGCTGCCACGGGGAGGGGACGGCTCCAGCCGGCTCCCCCAGAGTCCCCACAGCCCCCCAGCTCCCTGCCTCGGCAGCTCGGCTCCTTGCTGGACTCTGCTCAGCTGGCCCCCGGCGTGACCATCAGATGGGGCAGCAGCGTGAAGCGTGGGCTCTGCATCCCTGCGCACGGCGAGGAGGAGGAGGAGACAGGGGAGGCCAAGCGGGACCTGAGACCCATCTGCCCCACCGTGCCCTTCCCGGCCATTGCAGCCGGGCAGGTCACAGGTGATGACGAGTGTCAGAGGCAGCACACCCCCCCATCACTGCTCTAGGGCCCCTGGGTGGTGTGCGGGGTTAACCCCCCTACTCGGTGCCAGCCCCCCCTCCTCACTCCCCATCACCCCAGGCAGTCCTGCCTGGCTCCCCACCGTGTCCCACGGTGGCATTTCCCATGACCTGCTCATGACAGCCCCAGTGTGAGGGTGCAGCCAGGCTGGGTCCCCCAGGCTCCCCATGTGCCGTGTCTCCGCTCTGCAGGGCAGCCACCACCCCGGGCAGGAGCCACGGCACTGCGGGAGGCTGGTTGTGCCCTGTGGGCTTCCTTCCCCTTGCACCCCAGGGAGCAGACCCGCCTGTTTGGCTCTTGATCCCGGAGCTCATCCGCTGGGAAACCAGCTCCAGCAGTTCCATGGCTGGGTGCCCGGCTGGGTGCTGCCCTTGCTCTGCAGCTCAGCGCAGCGCCTGGATGCTCAAGCTCCTGGAGAGACCTCCTGTCCTGGGTGGGCTCTTCACCCACGGCTTCTGGCACGTTTCCCACCTGATCCTCCATCCCCACAAGTTACCACAGCAAGTGCCAGAGCTGGCGAAGGGCAGGGCAGGCTCTCTTGGCTGCCCGGTGAGGCTGGGAGCTCGATGCCCTTTGCAAGCCCTGCTAGAAGTAAAATAAAGAGGTTTCTGTCACTCAGCTTTCAGCCTCTGTTGAAGAACAGCCGTGCCGCTGTCACACCTCTGAGCCGGTGAGTTTCTATGCTGGAGCATGGGGCTGGGAGCAAAGTCCACAGCCACCCACAGAGCCACCATCCCTGCCACTGCCCAGTGCCACCTGTGGGGATGGACTGGAGTGGCCAAATGGCTGCTGACACCTCAACCTTCACAGATCCCCGCTGCTGCTGGAGAGGAGGCGAGGAAGCAATGGTCGCCAGCAAGATGTGAAGCAAAGCTCGTGGGAGCTGGGGCACGCTGTGCTTTGGGGCTACCCACCAGCACACTGCCCAGGCAGGCAGCACCCAGTATGGTCACACGTCACATCACAGCCTGCAGGACATTTTTCAGCTTGTAATCATGTGCAGCCACATACCCTGCAGCTGATTTGCCACCAAAAAAAGAAATGGAAGGGATTTAGCGGGGTGTGGCTGTGTGACCTGTGTGGCTTTAATGCATGAACTTTCCCTGGGTTTTTGCCACTGCCCAGTGTCCCCGGGCTGCAGCAGGTCCCTGTCCTCGGAGGCACGGCTGCCTCCAAGCCACTCTGCCTGTGCAGCCCAGCCTGGCTGTGGCCCCAGCGGGTGGCCCCAGCTCTGCTCCCTGCACCCCAAGCCACCAGAGCTGGTGGGGCCAAGCCACCACAGGACTGTTTGCCAGCTCCAATAGTGCTCTGGCTGCGCAATCACCCCATTTTTTTTTTTTTTTTCTGTAAAGAACCCATTTTTGGCTGTGATAGCGTGGGGTGATGGTCAGGGACAGCTGAGCTCAGGGACAGCTCATCCAGGGCAGGAGCCAGGGAAATACTGGAGGCATTCAAGGCCGTGTGGCCAGGGAACGGCGGCAGCTTAGAGTCATAGAATCATTTAGGCTGGAAAAGACCCTTAAGATTATAGAGTCCACCCGTAGCTTGGGGCCAGTGGTGTTCAACCAGTATCAGAATCTCAGAGGCTGTGGGAGCCCCAGGAAAGCTGGGTCCATTCCTGGGTTGAGCTGCTGAAATCCCCGGAAGGGGCTGGCTGGGACCGTGCCCGGGGAAGGGCCATGCCTGTGTCCCTAGGCTGCCAGTCTGGTCAGGAGGATGAGGACCTTGAGTCAGGGCTGCTTTGGCAGGATCAGGGTGGGCAGGGGACTGGCTGGACACCCACCCCACTGTGCAGCCACCCCCAGGCTGCAGCCCCCTCCATCTCCCCATGTGCTTCGGGTGCAGCACGACACCCCAGAGCCCCTTGCTGGGGCTGCCCCCCTGCCTCATAAACCGCTCCAGCAGGTCCCTGCTCCTGCACATGGGTGAGTGTAGCAGGACAGCATGGTCCCTGTGCAGCAGGACAGGGACCTTGAGGCTGCCTGGTGGGCATCACCCCTTCTGCAGCAGCTGGCCTTGGGACTGGCAGGGGGCTCCCTGGCCAGCACGGGCAAGCAGCCCTGCAGTGGCACAAGGGATGCAGGGCTCAGCCTCCTGCCTGCTCTGTCCCTCCCTGGGTAGATAGCCCAGCGAGCCGCTCTCTTGATGGCTTGGGGAGCGGGAGGGGACTTTCCTGGCCAGGGTTGCTGGGCTGGGCGAAGCTCCTCGGCTGACCTCCAGCCACAGCTGGACTCTGTCCCCCAGCCACACCCCGGTATCCCAGCCAGCCAGACCCTGCGCCCCAGCCATGGAGCTGCCGAGCGCCTGCAGCCACCCGTGCTGGTTCCTGCTCACACTGCTCCTGGGGCTGCTCCTCTGGGCCAGGAGGAGACGCGCCTGGGATCCCCGCAAGTGTCCCACCGACCTGACTGGCAAGACGGTGATTGTCACCGGAGCCAACAGTGGTGAGCGGGGAGCGGTGGCATGGGCTGCAGAGGTCGGGGTGGGGCTGTGTGTGTGTGTGTGTGAAGGACCACGGCGCCGGGGAGATGCAGGACATGGGATAAGGCTGTGGGTCCTGTCTGGACATTGGATCCAGCCATCCTTCTCTTGTGTACCTGGAGCAAGTGGCAGCTCCCTGCTTCCCAGGGGTGGAGCAGGGGCTGGGGGCATGTGTGTGGGTGATGGCACGACAGCATGATGCTGTGGGGCGGTCCACAGGGAACACGGGTCCCCCTTCTTCAGCTGCCAAACCCCAGCCCCTGTGTCAGTGGAGAAAAAGGCTGCAGGAGCAGCCAGTGGCTGGTCCCTGGGCGTGCACGATGTGCTCCCAGCACCCGGTGCCCACCATATGCTCACACCAGGTGCCCTGGCATCCTCTGCTCCACACTGACCACTGCACTGCATGCTCAGGAGCCAGCTCCCGGCTGGCATCCTCCACCCAGGAGCAGCTCTGCCTTGCTGGACTCTCGGCAGCTCCGTGCCCGCAAGCCTGGCCCAGCCTCTGCAGCTGGACTCTGCCCCAACTGGGTTAATGACTGACAGCCCAGGACACCGTGCTGTCAGCCACCACAGGCACCACGCTGTGCCAGAGATGGAGCTGCGTGCCAGGGATGGGGCTGCTGCTCCAACCCACATCCTGCTGCAAAGCATGGGATTGGATCTGGCACAGCTGGGGGCAGTGGGACCTGTGGGACTGGGGGCTCGGGGGGAGCATGTGTCAGGGTTGGGGTGTCCCTTTGTGGGGACAGGGTGGCCCCACATGTGCTGGGTGTCCCTCCCCGGTGCTTGTTGTTTCCCACCGTGTGGGAGCATCGATGTGGAGCGGTGCTGGCATCTGGGTGGGTTTGGTGGCTGTGGCAGCTGTTCTGCCCATGTGGCTGGGGTTGAGCCACAGACTGAGCTGCAGTGACCTGCCACCACCAGCTCCTTCCCGCACCTTGCAGTGGTTGTCCTGCCCTCTCCCCATCCCCACACAGCCACACTGTGCTCACTCTGGCCCCACTGACACCCCAGCTCCAGCGCTGGGGCACCCTGGGTTTGGCACTGGGCTCTTGGCAGTGGCTGAATTGACTGGGACAGGGTCTCCCTCCATCATCCTCTCTGGGCTGCCTGGACCCTGGGGATGGGGACACTTGACCCTCAGGGACCCCTTGCTGTGGGGACCTGGTGGGGACCAGCCCACGCTCACTCCGTGTGCTGCAGGGATCGGCAAGTGTGTGGCCCTGGACCTGGCCCGCAGGAACGCCCGCACCATCCTGGCATGCCGGAATCGGGAGCAGGGCCAGGCAGCAGTGGAGGAGATCCGGGCGGCCACCGGCAACCCTGCGGTGCTGCTGCGGCTGGTGGACACCAGCTCACTGGCCTCCGTGCGTGCCTTTGCCCAGGCCGTGCTGCGGGAGGAGAAGCGGCTGGACGTGCTGGTGAACAACGCTGGCCTCAGCGGTACGCACTGGGCTCAGGTGTCCACCACTCCTGTCCTGGCCCTGGTTGGAGCCCACCTCCTGGTCCCACTGTGGTGGATGATGCCTGCCCGGTTCCTGGCCCCATGGTGCCTTGTGCTCCCCTCTTCCAGGGCTGCCCTTCACCATCACACCGGAGGGACTGGAGAAGACCTTCGCCACCAACTACCTGGGCCCGTTCCTGCTCACCAACCTGCTGCTGGGTGAGTGAGGGGGCTGCCAGGGGGTGGGGAGGTCTGGGGCACCCCTCCCCGCTCACCTCCCATGCTCTTTGCAGACCTCCTGAAGGCGTCGGCGCCCGCCCGCATCGTCAACGTCTCGTCCTTCCGGCACAGCGTGGGCACCGCCGATGGCCGCTACCTCACCGGGCAGGAGCGGCTGGGCAGCTCCGCCACCTACAACAGCACCAAGCTGATGAACGTCCTCTTCACCGCCGAGCTGGCGCGGCGCCTGCAGGGCACAGGTGGGTGCCATACTGTGCCTCGCCATGCCGTGCCAAGCAGCCCCCGGGGAGGGCTGCCTCCCGGTGCCACCTGCCCGTCCCAACCACCCCACGCTGCTGTGCCACAGCACAGGGGCCGCACGATGGGGCTGAGGGGGTCTTGGCCCTGGCAGAAACTCCCCAGGACCACCCACGTCCCCCACGGCTGGGAGAACCCTGGCCAGACGTGGCCGCATCCCCTGGGGTCACCCTGGCGCCGAGAGCACGGAGGAGCCCCAGCTCGGAAGCCGGGTTTGGGGCTGCTCCTGCTGCTCCAGGGGGGATTCAGACCCCAGAGGCAGGGACTGGGGCAGGGCCCTGCCCGCACCGGGGTCCCTGTGTCCCCCAGCCCCATCTCCCGGTGCGGTGCTGATGGTGTGGCTTGGCAGGGGTGATCGCCAATGCTCTGAGCCCCGGTGTGGTGAGCACCAGCATCATGCGCCACTTCGGCTGGGCCATGCGGACACTCTTCATCCTCATCCGCCCCTTCATAAAGGTGAGCAGGGGCAGGCGGCAGGACCCCATCCTGCCCAGACACCTCTCCCCCTCCCCAATCCCCAAGGGGCGGCCGGGCTCCTTCCTCACCCCTCTGTGCCCGTCAGTCCGCGGAGCAGGGGGCCATCAGCACAATTTACTGCGCTGTCTCAGAAGAGGTCTCAGGCATCACGGGCAAGTACTTCGACAGCGACTGCAGGCTGACTCTGCCCTCCATGGCCGCCCGCGACGCCGGCCTCGCTCGCAAGCTCTGGGAGGAGTCCGAGCGGCTGACGGGGCTCACCGATGGCCCCCAGCACTGAGCCAGCAGCAGCTCTGTGTCAGGGACGTGGCAGTGGCTGTGCCACCCGGTGCTGCCAGCTGCCAAGCCGGGGTTCCCTGTGGCTCCCCAGGACGTGGGGACAGATGCTGCCAGGGGGACACCAGAGTGGGCACCATGCAGGTGTGGGGTAGCCAGCAAGGGGAGTTGCACCAGCCCCAGCAGTGCCGGGACACCCAAGTGCAGCAGAAGGGGGTCGCCTCACATGTGCCAGCCCCTTCCCAAAAGGGAGAGCGGCCATGGGGCACAGCCATGCCAGGGCATGGATCGTGCCACCATCTGCGATGTAACTCCTTTATTAAAAAGCCCTGTACAGCCAGTGCCAGCTACTCCCAGGTGATGTCCAGGTCCAGCTGCTGCTTCCGCACCGCTTGTAGGAAGCCATCGTAGTCCCGCCGGTGGATGTCCCGGCAGTGGGACAGGTCCAGGCGGCGCAGGCAGCCCTCGGAGGCCAGCAGCAGCCGCACGGTCCGGCTGGACACCCAGCTCTCGGCCAGCGAGAGCTCCTGCAGCTTGAGCAGGGGCGGCCCCGGCGCCGCCAGCACCGTCTCAAACACCGAGTCCAACGGGAAGGGGATGCCGAGCAGGCGGAGGGTCTGCAGGCATGGGGCATGGCTCAGCAGCGAGGCCAGCGTGGCACGCAGTGCCAGCCCATGCCCAGCTGGGAAGGCACCGGTGGTGCTGCTCAGGGTCAGGGAGAAGCTCTGGAGCTGGGGGAGGCTGTGGGGAAGCAGGTCGGTGTCCCAGCGGGATGGCTCGGCCGGGGTCTCCCCATTGAGGTCAGTGTCCGTCGGGGGGTGCAGCTCGGCGCTGAAGGCCTGCAGGCTGGGGCAGCTGGCGAGCAGGGCGGCCAGGGAGAGCTCATCCGGGCAGCAGAAGCCGTGCAGGGCCAGGGTCTGCAGGCGGGGGCCCAGGCTCCGTGCCAGCGGCAGCACCTCCGCCAACACCCGGCCCTGCCGCCCGGTACAGCCCAGGGTCAGCCGGGCCAAGTGACCCCAGCCCAGCAGCTCCCAGCCACCCACTGGGCCCGGGCCATCCCCTAGCCACACGCCAGCCTCCTTGACCTGGGGACAGATGGCATGGATGGTGGCCAGGTTGGGCTCCTCCACCTCCTCCACCCGCCGCAGGGGCAGGGTGAGCCGGGGACCCCCTGGGGCAGCCCCCCGCTGCTGTGCCAGCTCCTCCAGTGAGGGAAAGCCTTCGGAGTCGCCCGTGCCACCCAGTTGCCACCCATGGAGGAGGTGAAGAGCGTCCGGCACAGCACCGTGGGCCAGGAACTCCAGGCGTGGCAGGGCCAGCAGCAGGAAGGCCAGTGCCGCCACCATGCCACTGTCCCCTGAAGGCTCCAGACCATGGGCCAGCAGGATGCGGAGCACGGGACAGCAAAGGGACTGTGCCAGTGGGTCGTAGGCCAGGTACCGCAGGGCACGCGGGGACACCTTCTTGCAGTGGGACACGTCCAGCTCCTGCAGGTGCCGGCAGCAGGAGCCCACGGCTGAGAGCACCTGGACGTTGGCCTGCGTCTCCGCCAGCCCCAGCCGGATCAGCTGCGGCAGCCCCTCTGCCAGGTCCACCAGCACATCCGCCGACAGCCGGCTGCAGCCATGCAGGTCCAGGGAGCTCAGGTTCTGCCACCAGCACATAGAAGCCCCCTCAGCAAGGTGGGGTGGAGGGGACGCCGACACCTCTCTGCTCCCCCTGCACCCACCCACGGGGAGTGGGCATCCCCATTCCTGCTCACCCAGCCCTACAGAGGGTGGGAATCCCCTGCCCCACTCACCCAGTCCCACAGAGGGTGGGAATCCCCTGCCCCACTCACCCAGTCCCACAGAGGGTGGGAACCCCCTGCCCCACTCACCCAGTCCCACAGAGGGTGGGAATCCCCTGCCCCACTCACCCAGCCCCACGGAGGGTGGGCATCCCCATTCTTGCTCACCCAGCCCCATGGAGGGTGGGTGTCCCCATTCCTGCTCACCCAGCCCCATGGAGGGTGGGCGTCCCCAGCCCGCTGACCTTGCAGCGCAGAGTGACGAGCTGGCCGATGGCGTTGCTGGCGAGGCTGGGGCAGGGCCGCAGGCTCAGCTCCCGCAGGTGAGGCACCAGGAGCAGGTGGAGCGCTGCCCGCGTCAGGCGCCGGCTCTCGCCCAGCAGCCGGATCAGGTCCTGCACCAAGCTGCCAGCTGCGGGGGGGGACACACCACTGTTACGGGGCTCAGCGAGACAGCCCCAGCACCGCTCAACCCATTCTCCTTGCCCACATGGAGGGGGTCCCCGGACCCCGTGCCTCACCCAGGTCGTTAAAGGGGCCCATGACGAAGCGGAACTGGTACTCATCCAGGTAGTTGTCGCTGTAGTCCTTCACCCAGATGCTCTGCATGTGCCGGGCCAGGCTCTGCAGGCAGAGGCTGCCCAGCGTTGGCACCTCCTTCCTTCTGGGCATCTGGCTGCTGTGGGGGAAAGGGACGGTTGGGCACCGTGTGCTCGGGTTGGAGCTGCCCACAGACTCCAGCACACACTGCAACTTGTCAGGGCCCAGCTTTATTTTGGGTGCGCTTTAACCATTTCTGCAAAATCAGTTAAGAAAGTTCTGCCTTAGTGCGTGTGGCCTCACACCAGTCTGGTCTGGCTTGCCTGAGGAAAGCGAGCTTTTTGGTCCTGGTTTCGGTTTTGCTTGGCTTTGTGCACTGGCGCTGTGGTTTCCCCCATCAGGCAACCCCAACATGACCAGAGAGGACTAACCAGCACGGTTCCCTGCGGCACAGCACACCCCGGACCCGCCGGCAGAGAGGAGAAGGGAGAATGACAAATAAACTACCCCAGCAGCCCCTCGCCCAGGGGGACACCCCAAACCTTGCCACCTTCTGGCAGGCAGGTTGGGCACCAGAGGCCAGCTGTGGCAGCACTGAGGACGGGAGAGGACGGTGCTGGGAAGCTGGAGAGAAGCGTTAATCACAGTGTGTAATTGAGACTGGTAACGCTTGGGTAATCACACTGTGTTAGAGCCCCTTGTTTCCTGCCTAATTGCAGGGACACTTTCTCAATGAGATGACTAAAACATCCGCCAGACTAACACTGAATCCCAGTTCCTGGATCTGTTAACGTGGGACACACCCCAGTATAGCCCAGTGGGCTGGGGAGAGGTTTACTGGGATGGGGAGGGCTTTGGAAGTCCTAGCAACTGGAGAAAGGGACGCATCAGCCCTACCTGTGGGGGTGCTGGGGACCGGGAGAAGACCCTCCTGGAAGCTGCCTCTGGGCACACAGTGGGTGAAAACAGCCGGCACAGATAGACCACGGGCAAACTGTGACACGGGTGGGCACCGCTAGGGCAGGGGACATCTCACACTGTCACCGGAGACCCGGACACAGCCTCCCGGCCGGCAAACTGTGCCAGCTTCGTGTGCCACAGGGGTGGAAAACTAGCCACGCTGGCGGGTTCAAAGTGTCGTGACCAGCGGGACACGGGCTGTCACTGCGGGGATCGGTACCGGGGCTGGTCCCCGCCAGCCCAACGCCCACTTCAGGCGCCGGCCTGGCCCTGCTCGGGGGCACAGACCCCCAGGGCCCCGCCACACCGCGGGGATCGCCTGCCCCCCAGCCCAGCTCCCCCCTTTCCCCCCACCGCGCTGGGGACGGGGTGCTGCTCCTGGCCCTGGGCTGCCCCAAGCACCGGGCCCGGGCCCCGACCCACCGGGGAACGGAGCGTGGGGGGCGTCCTCATGGCAACAGACCCGGTACGCTCCCGGGACCCGCCCCCCCGGTCCCTACCGGGGTCCGGGCCTGGGCCGCTGCCGGGCCGGCAGCACTTACCGGGGGCTCCGCGTCTCTTCCCGCTTCTCCTTCCTCCTTCTCCCTCCCGGCCCGGCCCGGCCCCACCTCCCCGGCGGGCGGGACCCGGCCCCACCATTATAGACACCGGCGGCCCCCGCCCTGCCGGGAACAAGACGCCCTCTCCCCCGCGGCTAGGCCGCCCCGCTCGCTGCCGTCCGGCGCGGCCAAATCCCCTGCAGCTGCCCGGGCAGAGCCGCTCCGCCGCCCCGCCGCCCTCCTGTCCCTTCTCCCCCGCCATAGCCTGCCCGCCCGTCCGCGCCCGTCCGGCTTCGCTCCCCTCACTGCGCATGCGCGCCGCCCGCAGGCCCCTTCCGCCCTTCTGGCCCCTGAGGGCCGTCCACAGCCATGCCTGACACCAAGCTCGGCCGGCGGCGGGGCCGGGCGGTGCGGCGGCGCGGCGGGCAGCCCGAAGGGGCCTAGCGGGGGGTCCTCGCTGACGGGCGGGGGCCGCTGGCTTCCGAGAGCGGGGTCCGGTGAGCGGCGCTGGGGAGCGGCCGGGCGGCAGGTAC